TATTGTTGCAGAGGGAAGTCTCCACAACCTTGTCAATGGGGAAACTTTTACCTTTTTTTGTGTCTCCAACACAAGAGCTAGTGTGGCTTGATCATTGGACTAAGACTCTGTGAGACCAGGGTTCAAATCCTTACTCATCCATGAAACCCCACTGGGTGATATTGGGCAAGTCACACACTCTGAGCCTGAGAGGAAGGTTTCTCTAAAGAAAACTTGTGAAGAAAATCCCATTATAGGTTCACTTTGGGGTCTCTGTAAATCAGAAACTACTCGAAGGCACAGAACAACATAAGTGTCACCAACAGGATGCTAGACAAATATAGGAGGTTTTACCTACCCTTCATTGATTCAGACCCTTTTATTCCTGCTTAGTAAACTGGAGGTTACACATAGAAGTCTAATCTGCACTGCAGAAACAATGCAGTTTGACACTGCTTCAACTGCCGTAGCTCAATACTATGGAATTCTGGCATTTGCAGATTTGTGAGATATTTAGCCTTCTCTGTCAGAGCACTCGCTCTAGTGCCATAACTACAGATCCCAGGATTCCATGGCATGGAGCCATGGCAATTAAAACAGCGTCGGACCACATTAGTTCTGCAGTGCAGATTAGACCAGAGACACCCACATACCATCTTCCCATTGTGGAATGAATTGTAGAAGCCACAGTAATTTCACCAACCTATTTTGAAAGGTCAGCACCAAATCCCCAGCTGGGTAACTCTGCCCACCCTGAACTATGTAACAGAAACATCTTTAAATTCAGGCCACCGCTCTTGTTTTTAACTGAGTAGCCTGAATCTTCATTCCTCGGTGCATTTTGTGTTTCAAACACAGGCGACAAGCTTTTCAAACCTCTGCTGCCCCATTTAAGTGATACCTTGCCGTACAGCATTATGTAATTTGAAGGTTAACATGGGTCACCACTCCAGCTCTTTTGCGGATGGAATATGCTGTCACGTACTTCTTGAAAATAAAATGTTTCAGAACCCAAGAAGTGCTGAATTATGAAGCTAAAACTGAATTACGCCTAACCTCTTGAACAGTTGGTGCACTTAAGAAATTATTTCCCCATCAATGGAATTTTCCTTTTTTCTCCTCTCTGCCCACCCATCCACCTCTTTCATATATTTTTCAAAAATATATTTTCCCTTCCTTATGTATCCTGCTTTTGTCCAGATAATCTATGAAAGCAGATGCTTCCAAGTGTAACTCAGCCAGCCAGAAAAAGCTACACACACCACCTTGCTTAATACAATAAAATATTTACTTGTTCAAAACTTTCTGTAAAAAGCAACACAGTGGTTAAGGTCTAAGAGTTTTCTTTTTTCTTTTCTTTTCTTTTCTTTTCTTTTCTTTTCTTTTCTTTTCTTTTCTTTTCTTAAAAAAAGCTAAGTGGGGAAATTGCTGAAGGCACCAATTCCCATCATAAAACCTTCTGTGGGTGGGGATAAAGTTAATGGAATAGCTTAAATTTTGCAGTGTTCCAGGCAATACTGGAATTAATTCCTTTTTGGTTTGTTTTTGTTTTTAAACAAAGGAAGGAAAGAAAATAGGTAAATGTTTGGGGCATTTGGCCGATTGTTTTCAGAACATAGAACACAGCTTGGGAAAGATGATGATGATGATGATGATGATGATGATGATGATGATGATGATGACGATGACATCTCTCCCAGAAGCAAATGACCAGCATGGACAGTGGCTAACCGGAAGAATCTGAGAGCGATGGTACAAAAACAAATTTTTCCAATCTCTGACACAGGGGCATCACTAGAGGAGTGTGGGTAGTGGGGACCACAGAGGGTGACATCTCAGAGAAAGTTTCACCCAGTTTGCTAGTTGGAAGGAGTTGACTTCCAAGTCTGGAAGCTCTGCTGGCTGCATGGGGAAACAACTCTTCTCCCTCCCTTGCCCAGACAGCAGTTCCACCATACCCAGAAAGGCTGAAGGGTAGCAGAAGCTGCCCATTAGGCTACCTTCTGGGTCTATTCTGGTGGCTAACTGCTGGTTGGGTGATAAAGAAAGCCTCCTCTCTTTCCCAACCACCTGGCAGCTCTACCAGACCCAGAAAAGGCTGAGGATTTGGTGCTGAATTTCCCAAATAGATTGGTGCAGTTCATTCCAGAATGGGAAGGTGGTATGTGTCACCAACAGGATGCCAGTCACATAGTGGAAGTTTTACCTACCCTTCATTAGCTTAGAGCCTTTTCTCTCTGCAATGCTTAGTAAACTGGATGGCACACACAGGGTTCTGCAGAAATAAAGCAGTCTGACACCGCTTTAACTGCCATGGCTTGATGCTATGGAATTCTGGGATTCATAGCTTTGTGAGCTATTTTATTTTATATGTCAGAGAGCTTGGTGTCACAACAAACTATACATTCCAGGATTCCATTGGATGGAGCCAGGACAGTTAAAGCGGTGTCAAACTGCATTAATTCTGCAGTGTGTTGGCAGCCTTGGAAAGACCACGAAGGACTACTTTTTTGTCTTTCTACCACTCCATCCCAATCTATACCTGTTTTATCAAGCCTTTCCCCCTGGAGAAGTTGCTTTTGCACACATTCTTCCACAGCCCAGACATCACCCAATTCTTCTCCTTGGCTACTAATTGGCTGCTCTGGGGCAGAAGAGAAAGGAGGTTGAAGATGGACTATCATGCTGATGCAGGAATCTGGTCATTGTTTCCAAAATTGAAAAAGCCATTCTTGAACAGGAACAGCAGCAACAACATTGAAGCCAAGATTAATATGGGAAGTAGTTGAGCAAGAATTCATCAAGATGTTCAAATCTATCTGACCCTGATAGCTCTTGGAGCTTAAATTAGCCGTGTTTTTAGGCTTCCCAGGACTTCATTTAATTCTAAAAACTGACACATATCACTGCTACAAAAGATGATTTCTTGGTGGTAAATCAATGCAGCAGATGGTCTGCAGCACAGGAATGCATCACAGCTCCTTAGCTGATGGGCTCCTGCAGCATTTATTGTTGCTGTTCTTCAGTAAGTGGTAGAATCACTAAACAATGCATTCTGAACAGACTATCCCAGGGCCAACATGCCAGATCCCCATGGTTCAATAATGGATCCCCTGGGCTGGAGATCACTCTCTCTAGGTGAAACAACTGGAAGATATATCCCTGGGGTGTTTAAATGAATCAAACAAAAGAACCTGCAGGCATGACCCATCTTCTATCTTAAAAGCTATGTGAACAGCACAAGCAAAGGTGCATCAACAGTGTAGAAATAATGTAGTTTGACACTACTTTGACTGCCATGGCACCGTGCTACTAAATCCTGGGATTTGTAGTTGGGTGAGGCACCAGTCTTCTTTGGTAGAGAAGGTGAAAGGCCTTGTAAAACTACAAATCCAAAGATTCCATATGATGGAGCTACAGCACTTAAAGTGGTGTCAAATTGCATTGTTTCTACAGTGTAGATGCACTCCAAGTTGCTAGCGAGAGAATTGGATTTCCACAGGATTTCCCCCCTGAAGTGCTAGACTAACCCATAACTATCTAGCAGGTCTACTCAATACATAAGAATCCTCCTTATGTTACTCAATAGCTATTAAATTTGGCCATGACGTTAAGGTTTCTAGAGCCCCTGCACCTAGTAGTATGAGCCCAGATTCACTATAAATAGGGACAATGGACTTTTAGCACAATACACTTGTTAATCAGTCCATCAATGCAAGAATGTCTGGGTTGGTGGATTTTAGATGTTATCACAATTACTAGCATTGTTATGGTCACAATTAAAGCAAAATTATGCCACACACATCAATAACTGGGTGTGCTGTGCAAGATGCAATGAGCAACCACACTGCACAACCCCAATGAGCAGCTGTGATGTGAAATATACAGGATCTAAACATAAAAAGCACAACATTGCTGCAGGCACAACTTCACTCTTGCTGGTATTGGCAGAATACCTGCCATGGTGAATCACTTTTCCCCACATGCATAGGATGACTTATAGAATGACTAACAGAATGACAGCCATTGTGTATGAGCCTTTAAGATGTCACAAGGTTTCTGTGTTGCTTTTGCAGCAACAGATTAATATCACTACCCTCCTAGAAGTGGTGCTTTGTCCATGTCTTCTTCCAGTTCAAGGATTCCCTCAAATGGATGGTGAAATTTAGTACTTTCCTGAGCAGGCAATGACCAAGAACCTCCATCATCTCAGCATTGTGTAAATACCACACCATGCTACCAACAACAACCCCTGTATTGGATAGCTCTGAAGTACAAGGTATGAGAAAGAATGAATGCACATAGCTGTCATGCAATAACAGTGCGATGGGCATTGTGTATTGACAAATCATTGTATTGTGCATCTGCACATTATTATAAATCTGCAGTGGTTCTGTATGTGGATCTCCACTCCTGCCACCATCAGCCAGAGGCAGCCATTCTGCATTGTCCATGACTCTGCATGCCTAGCACAACATTGCTGTTGTTGTTGTGTGCCTTCAAGTCCTTTCTGATGTATGGCACCTTTAAGGTGAACCTATCACAGGCTTTGCTGGGGCTGAGTGTGTGTGTGTGAATTTCACCAAGTGGGTTTCCATGGCTGAGAGGGAAATTGAACTCTGGTCTTCAGAGTTGTAGTCCAACATGCAAACCACTACACCTCCCTGGCTCTCATAGCATAACTTGCACCTGTGTATGTCACCAACAGGATTCTGGCCACAGGTTGCAAGAAAGCAGTATGGCTATCTGCAATTTTTATCTGCACATCTTTACCTAATTGAAATTGATTGCAGCATCACTTCTTTCCAGGAAGGTGTACTTAGGATTATAACCTTTGTATGCAGTAAAATGTATACACTGATTATCTTGATGGAAACTGGAAAGCAAAATAAATAAATTTAAAAAATCAGCTCAGTCCAATAAAAGAAGATATCTCAGACATTTCTCTCTGCAGAAAAGGGAGAGAGAGAGAGAGAGAGGAATAGGAGAGGCGAACGGCTTTTACTATAATTAGAACTTGGCCCTTTTGGAGCTGGAATTTGGAACTGACCCCAAGCTTGTGAAATAATTAGTCCAATAGTGCAAAACCAGCCATTTTTGAAAAGACTAATCTACTCCATATGCAGCGTCTCAGCAGGCGCCCTCATTAATCAAAGAAGGCCATGTACATCAAAGTGTTCAGTGCTTGCTGCTACAGCATCCATCATACCGCTATTAAATGTGTTATGGCAGCGCTTGATAAATATAATGTCTTTGATCTGCTGATAATTTTGGGCATGGATGGTTTGCTGCTAGGAATTCCCTAGGTATATACACAGAAATCTGAGGAAGGCATTGCTGCCATTCCAAAGCACGATGTAAACAGGCTCTTCGCTCTCTCCAAAATCAAACTGGGGGATCAGAAAGGAGTTTAGCAAAGCATGAGGCCTGGGCTCTTAACTGACTGGCCAAGCCTTGCCTAAATGCAATGGACATATTCTCTGCCATAGTGGGATAGGACCAATCCCTACAATGACTATAAGAAACTTCTCTATAAGGAAAAGGTACAAGACTTGGTGTAGTGATTGGTACAGTGGTGATAAAGCCCACAGGATTGACATGCCTAGACTTTTTTATTAGGAGGGACGGTCAGGTCATTTGCCATCCTTTTAGGCATCCCTGTTCTTTCTGAATTAGATGCGATCCGCACAGTGCCTAGGGGGCAAAGGAAATATTTCCAGCCACTGATATATCATCATGAGTGATCCCTGTTCTTATGCAAACTGTATGGTGACGGCAACAGCATAGGGGTTGTTTACATTGACCAGGGTACTCCGGGGTCAGCTCAGAGTATCCTGACCCTACAGCTGGCCCTGTTACTTGGCCCTCCATTTCTGCATTTCTATGGCTGTCTGCATGGGCATTTGGCTGGGCCATCTAGTGCATCCACCATCACTTGCTTCTGAGGTCAGAACAAGTGACCCATGGTGGGAGCAGAGGCACTGGGCAGCCCAGCCCATGCAGACAACTGCCATCTTCCATAGGTGATCCCTGGGTTCAGAACTTCTGTCTTTGACATGGCTTTGTAGTTCTAAAATCACAAATTTCTTGTGTTCACCACTGGAAAATGGCAGGGAGAAACCAGTGATTCAGAAAACAGAAGCTCTGACAACTCTCACAAATCTGTAAGGGCTGTGAAGACAGTGTAAGATTTATTTGGCTAGGAGGGTGCTGAATCAGCAGGCCTGCAAAATACACAAACACACACACAAAGAGAGGCCCAAAGTTCAAGTGAACAAGAATAATAAGATTGGTTCCTCTGTCCAAAATCAATCTATTAGCTGATATGAGCTGCAAGACCTTAGGGGACTCTCTCATATCTTCACTTAAATTGTTTTGTGTCTTGTTGAAAGGTGAAGCAAACACACTATGTGCATCTCACAAACATAGCAGAATTCCCTCTCTGCTTCCATGAACATCACAGGAAACAAACATTATTCATGTGTATAGTGCCCTTGGACCTTTGGTACCAAGGGAAGGGAAAAGCCATGGGGTGGATCTGAAGGCCTGCATTCTGCTTCCAAATCTACACTCATGAACTTAAATAGTAGTTGTGCTACACCATTCTTCTGCTGTATACTGAGATTGTGCAACTAGTTACATATCTTGGAATGTACTTAGTTTCTGCAATCCAAATGAACAAAATTGTATTTATAATCTTTTGATTGCCATACAATGCACACAAATACAAAGTTCCCTCATAGCTTTTGCCACACTGAAGAGAGATTTAGCTCAAGCATCCAGATATGAACAAACCATTTTACATTCAGCTAGCAGTCTCTGATAACAACATAGGAACATTCCTTTCTCAACTCCAAAACAGGACACAGAGGGCTGTTGCCTATGCCTCCAAAAACCTGTTCACCACTGAAGTCAAATACAGTCCATGTGAAAAGAATTGCCTTGCCCTGGTGTGGACATTGACCAGATGGGA